GTCCAGAAACATCCGTAGTCCGGAATGATTTGAGGTAGCTGGATGTCTACTTTTCATGGGTGTGGCCAAGTTTCCTGCAGTCCTATAAAGTTTGTTGACAGCCGCCAATCCTGGCTTTGTGTTCTGGGCTGTTATTTAGCTCTAATTTAACCCCTAAATATCTTCTAACAGACCAATCAGCAGTGGCAGACAATACTGACCTGCCATGGTCTGGAACCCCTAAATATCTTCTAACAGCCCAATCAGCAGTGGCAGATAATACTGACCTGCTGTGGTCTGAAAAATTCTCTGGTTTGGTACCGGTCAGGTCTTGAGGGTGCCGGATTAGAGAGGTTCAACCCATAGTGTGTTTTATGAATGTATTCAGAGCATGACAACAGTTGGAGCCTGTTAAACAACCGAGGGAGCTCTTATTAATCCCCGTGTAAGCGCCGCGTCCCACCGGCTGCTTTTCGAGGGCAAACTCTTGTAGGATTGTGTTCACGCATCTGGGTCTGATCTCTTCGGTATTAAAAGCAAAATACCTTGTCCAGATCAATAAGTGAAATCACACACCACGGGCTAAGAGAAAAAAAGAAACAGTAAAAAAAAAATCAATAGCTCATCGTGTTTTTATTTCAGTTCTGCTAAAAGCCTACGGTTGTTCTTGGGGCCCTGGCAAGTGGATAAGCACCCTTATTTGTGGTTTCCAATCTGACTTTGTTCACACCTGGAAGGTTAGAATGTCACTCCTATTGCTGCCTGCCCACGACGAAACAGCCTGCCTTTTTTGGGGCTCCCAGAAAAGCAGGATTAAGGGCAGTTGTTTTAATTTACTTTTTGGTAATAGTGCGGCCCCCAAGCTCCTTCAATCACCAAACTCTAGTACAACTTGACAGACTAAACTGCCATTCCTTAACCCAGAGGAGAAGCAGGGCCATTTGCACACAGTCCAGCGGCGAGTGAGAAAAATTCATGCTGCTTGCTAATTGCCTCTGGCACCGAGAATTCTTCGACACTCACCGCTTTGCTTTTCACGACCCCATCCATTCCAGCGTCTGTGTCGGTATTACAATAACTTTGCAAAGCATGCGGCGAGAATCTATCTAAATAGGCGGATGAAAACATCGATGATCGTACATCCCCAGGAAGGAAAATTCGTAGGAAACGCTCCAAAGCAAAAGCAAGTCTTGGGTAGGCAGAAGAGACCCTCCAGGACAGGAAGTGTAACGGTGCACCTTACAGACTGCACCATTTTCACCTGTGGGAAACAGGTGCAAAAGGGGTAAGAGGTTGGAATCCAGTCTCAAATCCGGATGATAAACAATGGAGGTACCGATATGAAAGTCCCAGGAGAGACGCTACAAAGAGACACTAAGAGCATCTCTCAAGGAAACCGAGGTTGGAATCCAGTCTCCAATCCGGATGATAAACAATGGAGGTGCCGATATGAAAGTCCCAGGGGAGACGCTACAGAAAGACACTAAGAGCATCTCTCAAGGAAACCGATATGCACATTGCAAGGTGGGAGGAGCAAGCTAGCAACCAACCCCAGTGGCATCGTATCCTCCATCAGTCAGGGGCCCCCTTCAAGGAGACGTGCCTGGTCCTCAATTCTGAAAAGACAGGGAGAGTGAAGGAAAAGGAAAGAACATTCTCTCAACAGGCATAAGAACATAAGAGCAGAAACAATGGGTCAGACCAAAGGTTCATCTAGCCCAGTATCCTGTTGGCCAACAGTGACCAATGCCAGGTGTCCCAGAGGGAGTGAATCGAACAAGTAATGATCAAGCGATCTCTCTCCTGCCATCCATCTCCACCCTCTGACAAACAGAAGCTAGGGACACCATCCTTACCCCCCCTAGATAATAGCCATTGGTGGACCTAACCTCCATGAAGTTATCTAGCTCTTTCTTGAACCCTTTTCAAGTTCTGGTCTTCACAACATCCTCTGGCAAGGAGTTCCACAGGTTGACTGCACACAGTGTGATGAAAAACTTCCCTTTGTCTGTTTTAAACCTGCTCCCTATTTATCTCATTAGGTGACCCCTAGTTCTTGTGTTATGAAAACAAATAAATCACTTTTCCGCATTCACTTTCTCCACACCAGTCATGATTTTATAGACTTCTGTCAGACCGCCCCCTGCCCAGTCTCCTCTTTTTGAAGCCAAAAAGTCCCCATCTTGTTAATCTCAGCTCAGACGGCAGCCGTTCCAAATGCCTCATCATTTCTGCTGCCCTTTTCCGAAACATTTCCAATGCCAATGTCGCAAGGTGTGGGCGTACCATGGATTTATACAGGGGGAGTAGGATGTTCTCTGCCTTACTCTCTATCCCTTTTTTAGTGATTCCCAACTTTCTGTTTGCCGTGTTGCACACTGGGTGGCTGTTTCCAGAGAACTATCCACAGAAACTCCAAGATCTTGAGCGGTGTGACAGAGCAGGTTAAAGGACTTGGTGGAAGGGGAGAGAGACCGCTCTGGTAGAGGGAACAGCAGCAATCCTGGCTAATGCTCTGGTAGAGGGAAGAGCAGCAATCCTGGCTAATTAGGGGCAGCTGACACAGGGTGGCTGAAAATCAATTAAGGGCCAGGTGAAGCTGATTGGGGCCGTCACGGGGCCTCTTTAAAAACCTTCCCTATGAGGTAAGAGAGAGAGAAGAAGCATGGAGAGGAGCAAACAACCCAGTGTTAAGGAGACTCATAGGGTACGTCTAAACTACATGGCTCCGTCAACGGAGATTTGTTTGTTCGGCAAAGGGAAATGAAGCTGCAATTTAAATAATCATGGCTTCATTTACATTTAAATGGCTGCTGTGCTGAGCCGACAAACAGCTGATCAGCTGTTTGTCGGCTCAGCGCGCTAGTCTGGACGCTCCCCTGCCGACATGAAAGCCCTTTATCGACCTCCCCGGTAAACCTCATCCTACGAGGCATAACGGGGAGGTCGATAAAGGGCTTTCAGGTCGGCGCGGGAGTGTCCAGACTAGCGTGCGGACACGACAAAGAGCTGATCAATTGATTGTCGGCTCAGCACGGCAGCCATTTAAATGTAAATGAAGCTGCGATTATTTAAATCGCAGGGAGTGTTGGAGGGCTCTCTTATCCCCATCCCCCAGGGCAAGAAGAGGGCTTCCTGGTCAGCCGTGACTGGCCCAGGGCTTCAGCCCAATACACCCTCCTTTATGCTAAGGGCCAGGAAGGCCCAGGGACAAAAACTCTGCACGCGAGGGCCCTGCTGCAGCCCTCAAAGGGTGGGACAGTGGACAGAATAGTGGTCAGGGTCTCAAGAGGGAGACTGACCCTGCCACAGTGGTTACAGCTAAATTAGTCCCCATCATTTTATAACAGACCCACCAGGATATGTGTGCCTCTACTACAGGCAGATCTGATGATGGTGGTGATATGCAAGTAGAGTCCAAGGATGGTCTTCCTCTCTGGTGGCCATCAGATGGTTGGAACGACTCGCCCTAGGAAAGGGAAGATTCTATTTCGGTGGGTTGTGTGGGTCACTCCCAAGAAACGTTGGATTAGAGCTTGCTACCACAGCCAGCGCAGGACTGACAGCTATTCCTTTAGCACAGTGGATCGATGTCTATGCCATGGAATCTGAAGGTTCAGGCTTCAAATCCCAATAATGACCCAAGCAGAGAACGGTCTGGGTTGTAAAATTCAATTTTCTTTTTTTTTTCACACACTAGAAAAACCCCGTCAGACCAGACCCATTCCCGTTTGGAGATACGCTGCGCGCGTCCAACAACACAGAAATCAGCGAGAACGGTGAATGCTCGGCGCCTCAGGAAAATCAAGTCCTGGCATTAACCAACCACAGAACGGGCACGGACACCAGCTTCTGGAAGGTTCTGGACGGAACATTCAGCCACACAGGTGCCATGACAATGAATGGACGTTTACGATAAAGGGGTGAAATCATAGCTACACGAGCCAATAGGAAAAGGAAACCTTCGCACTGGTAAGGGGATGAAATACAATGAAGAAGTAAGGGTCGCCCCACAGTAAATATGCATTCGACGTGGTAGTGTCAGCATCACATCTTATAAAAGCGGCATCCCAGGGCAGGAAAGGGAGAGCTGTAGACCTTGGGGGGTCGGGGAGCAGGATGGCCACTGGTGAAGAGGAGAAAGGTGAGGGTAATGAGGAAGATGAAGGCTAACATCCAGGTTGGTCTGCAACGCCTGGTGGATGTTCCCAGGCATTTTCTGTGTTATCTCTGTACTATTTCTAGCCACTTTGCTGCGTTAGTAAATACATTATTTACTTGAAAATATACAAGAGTCCCGGGAGTATGAGTGTCACACCTGTGCTCAGTGGGGTTCCCAACCATACCATAATTAAAATAATAATTTTGCGAGGCCTGATCTTGAGATAAGGGCCTGTCACTCCTCAGAGTAATATGTGGGAATGCATAGGATCATGCCGCACGAGCCAGCACTCTCCAGTTTCAATGAAGCCAATCCGGTCCACCGGAGTATGGAAAAATTGGTACAGTCACGTCATTAGCTCATAATACGCCCAGTAGGGGGCTGAATTATGGTTGCCCCGGCTATGTCAACCCAGGCGTTTCTTACCTCTTCTGTGCCTGCCTTTTCAACAGTAACACCTTTCTTTTAGGGAAACGCCAGGCATGTTTTCCATAATATAATGCAAGGCTCTGTGTACGTATCAAAGAAGAATTCAAGGAGCAGAATGATGCTTTCCGGGAAAAAAACCCATCACCTACAGAATAAAAAGTGCCCTTAGTGGACGATAATAGAAGCTGGAGCCAGCCTGGAATGATGCTTTCTGGGAAAAAAACCCATCACCTACAGAATGAAAAGTACCCTTAGAGGACGATAATAGAAGCTGGAGCCAGCCTGACTTGTTAAGAAATATAATCTGTGTATTTCTGAACAGCAAAACCTGGCAGTGAAATATGTTCCCCGTCTCATTTTTAAAGGGAGGAAGAGTATGGACCTTGAGTTTCTGCACTTTCCCTTTTTTTACAGATGGTGTTTACAAAGAACCTCTTTTACGGACCCTCTGTTAATTCTTCTCTGAGAGGTTTTTGTGAGTATTATAACCTAAAGTACCACAATGGGGAATGGAATGTATGTATATGAATATACACAGTCACATAAAATATGAAGTGCATTATTATACAAAATGAACCAGAAGGATACAGGAACACAAATTGACATGAGATTTTAAATAGCGAGTTACATTTTTTGTGTGCTAGGCACCCCAATATAAAAGAAATATGGACGGGTCTTGAGCCAGAAATGTATAAACATTTGCAAATCAACATTAAATAGACAAAGGACATCATTATGTCCAAGTACCAAGTCCTGGAAGAAAAGGTTTCTGAATCTGCGCCAGCATCATTTACGATCCAGATGCCACATGCCGACAAAAGTATAATCTCCCTGCCAAAGCAACACCATCCGAACGTGCGTCTGAGGTATTCCAATCAACCAGTGCATTCCTCAGGTAACCCAAACCAGAGGTGGTCTGTTATAGTCGTCAAGCAAAGACGTAAAAGACAGATGCAAGACAATAAGACTTTCTAACATCTGCAGACTGATCTCCATTTAACATCTGTCTGGACCTTCCAGCTCCCAAAGAGCTTGGAAGAGAAGAATTTTTTATTCAGCCGTTGTCACGTTACTGGATTTTGAGGGGAGCAGCCAGCTCACTGCTGCACCCATGGGCGGGTGTTGGCCCCAAAAATGGTATATAAGGGGGCCATGTAGAGTGTTGAATAGAAGCTTACTGTCTGCTAATCCTATGTACGCTAGTCATGTGATTGTATAATGTCTGTGTGTGTAGTTAGGAATCTGTAATCTGTGTGGATACTGAATATTTCCCTGCATGTGGTTGAGCATTGGGCAGAGCCTGGCCTCTGGACATGCTAATCAGCAAGGCCCTGTGGGACAATGGCACTCAATGGGCCAAGGACACACCTAAAGAATGAGTGGTGACTCATACCTAAGGGCTACCAGCAGGGAACACAGGAATAGGCCGTGGGCCAGGTGACCTGCTGTAGCCAAGAAGAGACCAGGAAGGAGGGATAAATAGGCCATGTGGTGGACTCCATCTTGGTCTTCAGCTCATCACTTCATCCCAGAGGCAGCAGTGCAGGGATCGAAGAGCCAGAAAGAACTGTGGACCCATCCTGATCCTAGGATGTGCAACAAGGACTTTTAAGCCAGCAGTTGTAACATCTCTGTTGAGAGCCTGCATCGAGAACTGGGAGATTCGGTGCATGTAACGTACTATCCTTTAACAACCTCACTCTCATGCTTTTCTTTATTGTAATAAACCTTTAGATGTTAGATGCTAAAGGATTGGCTCAGTGTGATTTGTGGGTAAGATCCAAAGGGTAAATTGACCAGGGATCTGTGGCTGGTTTCTTGGAACCGGACAGAACTTGTTCGGGGTAGGTGGGATTGGGTTCTAAGACCCCCCCACCGGTGTATGAGGCCCGGGGCCATCAGGGACACGGATATTGCTGCAGTGTCAGAGGGGTTTTGCTCGTGAGACTTCAGGCAGGCTGCTGAAGCGCTCTGTGGGACTGGTGTGTGGCCTGTTTGGGAAGGTCTCCAGTCTGGGGGCTGTAAGGAGCCCTGAAGTTGAGCAATTCGCCCTGAGCGGACGCCCTCAGTTGTGCCCAGACACGGCCCGGCCCGTCACAGCCGTTATTCAAGAACAAACAGTTGAGGAAAAACCTTCAAATAAGCCCTCACAAAGACAGCTTCTGCAAGCAAGTGGTAACAGGTTGGTCTGAAGTGACCCACACTTAAGCTCAACCTTGGGACAGCAGGAGCCATGTTCTCTGGTTACCAAGAGTACGTCTAGACTACAGGCTTTTGTTGACAGAGGGTTTGTCGACAGATACTGTCGACAAAGCTTCTGTCGACAAAGAGCATCTAGACTACATCCAGTTCTGTCGACAAAGCAAGCCGCTTTGTCGACATAACAGTGTGGTCGCAAAGGACAGTGTAGATGCAATAACGCCTTCTATTGACAGAACTCTGTCGACAAAAGGCGTTATTCCTCATAGAATGAGGTTTACTGCCGTCGATAAAACTGCCGAGTTCTGTCAACATTATTTCAACATAACTCGGCGGTAGTGTAGATGCAGGTATAGTTTTTGTAGACAAAAGTCGACTTTTGTTGACAAAACCCTCTAGTCTAGATGCACCCCAAGAAGGCACTCACATGTTTATGGAGTTTGGACAAAGTACCACAAAGCGAAGACCGTCCCCCATTTTCTTTGACTCCTTCGGTAGGAATCTAAGGAAGGGATTTGCTTAACTGGACACTGCCAGACAGAAGACACGCATGTGATGGATTATAATTGTTTATGGTTTAGCTAGAGAATGATGGTCACGAGGACAGGAATCGGGAGACACTCGTCCATGCAGAGCTCCTCCCCGTGGACGGACCACAGGCCAGTCACGTTGGGCACATCTTCACTGCCGCCGGGGGAAGGGTCACTCTGTTCGAATGAGCTCACTGACCTAGCAGTGTGACTAGAGCACGCCAGCCACCCAAGTGCATAGCTCGGATCTGTGAGGGATTCTACCGCCAGAGCGTTGTGTGAGCTGACTCCACAGAGCTAGGCTGAGGAGGTCTACTCCCGCTGGGAGCCACACCGTTCCGCTGCAGGATAGAAATAACCTTAGTCACGCCGTCCCTCAGTTTCCCACTGGTAAAATGGGGACAAGAGCACTGAGGTACTTCACAGGGGCGGGGCACAGAGCAATACATTTAGACCACGAGGGGCTCACCTTCTGAGGTGATGGGGGCCAGACACGGGAGCCGGTGTTGCGGAAGATTGAACACCGTTGATCACCGATCGAGATAGCTCATCGAATAACGGTTTCATACTGAAGTGCCACAGGTTCTCCCATATTTAAGTACTTATGGTTGAATGCCCATGCTGGTCACATCATCCGTCCTCTCTACAAACTCTGGAGTTGCCAATTTTCTCTGTGCAAAACACCGAATACCTTTGCCTTGCCCCGCCCCTTTCTCAAGGCCCTGCCCCTTCTCTGGGGAACCACCCCCTCTCACTGCATCCTGCCTCCATCGCTCATCTCCCCTGCTCTTGCTCACACACTTATTTTCACCAGGATGGGGTGAGGGTTGGGGTGTGGGGGGATGAAGGTGGGGTGCAGGCTCTGGTGTGGCGCTGGCGATGAGGGATTAAAGGGGCTGATCTGACCAAGCTGGACTGTGATGTTCAACTCTGCACTCTACCACGGCTGGGCTAGTCCCCAGAATCATTCCACCTGGGGAATGCAGAGCAAAGCAAGGCCACTGGACCAGGAGACAGAGCCCTGCTCACTTTCTGCTAGTACTTCAACCAGATTCCCAGGTTTCCTTCTGCACCGTCTGTACATTTACCCACCTTTGGACCCGGATGCCAGACCTAAAACGGAGACCCACCCCGATTCCGCTCCTCAAATCTCCACTCCTCCACAGGATTGTCGGCCTTTCCTGGGAGGTGCGGTATTTAGGATGCAGGTGTGGAATAGCCATAGTATTTAATTAACGTGGCAACACGGGTCTGTGAGACACTCAGCCACGCAAGGCCGGAGCCCCGAAATAGCTGGGCATGACTCGTTCACCGAGCAATGACCCTGTACCTGTAGATTTGCAAGATAACGGTAAACATTGTGGGAATTGCTGATGTGACTGAAAATATGTCACCATGCATCAGTTAATCCCACATGACGACCAGCGGTAGTATCTTGGGGCCTTCAAAACTCACCGCAAGTTGCTATGGTAACCATTTGTGGTACGGAACTAGTGAGATAGTCTATGAACAATGGGGCACCCCAACATTAATGGGCTTTGAAAATTCAGACCCCTAATGCTCATGTATGCACCTGGGTGGTCATAAGTGTGATTCAGATCAACAAGCGTTGCTTGTACCATGTGCTGGAGGGGAAAACATGGGGAAATCTCCGGACGACCATCACCGGCGACAAAGAACGTGATGATGAGGAAGATAATGACTAATACTCCAGAGATGCAAGCGATGCCTGATGTCATATTTCACCGTTTGTGGGATTGTTTATCTGCTTGGTGGATTTGTTAACAACGGAACATGGGAGGCCCTCCTCTGAGCCGGGCCTCTCAATGCCACAGCTGAAATAATTTATTTAACATGAACCAAACAACGTATTTCCCTAATCTCATTCTTCTAAATGGCAGGACCAGTTTAGCTGAAACAATCCCCACATTTTTCGCCAGAGGCAAACATCTGATATGGAAAATTTCACTCCGGACTGGTAAACTTTGGCTAAATTAAAAGACACTGAAAATAGGGTCGTAGAATGGGAAGTGTTGGGCAGCAAACCTGGCTTTTCATGTAATAATCAGGGCTTGACAAGTGGTGGCGAGCTTGCTCGCCAGCTACGCGGTTTGGCACTCTGCGCGTGCGCTGACCACACTGCGCAGCCGCACCGGGCTGAAATCTACACTCCACAGGCAAGTAGATTGTCTTAATTGTCAAGCCCTGGCAATCATGTTCCATCTACTATTAAAAGTTCAACTGGTTTTTTATGACATGCATTAGAGTTGCATCCGGAAGCCAGAGCTGCGATTAGGTCCTATAATGATAAGCATTATAGAAACACAAAGTAAAATACGCTCCCCGACGCAAAAGCCCTACAATCTAAAGAGACAAGACCGACACAGAATCATAGAAAACTAGAACTAGACGGGACCTCGAGAGGTCACCAAGTCCAGTCCCCTGCCCTCACGACAGGACCAAGCACCATCTAGACCATCTCTGACAGGTGTCTGTCCAACCTGCTCTTACATATCTCCAGTGATGGAGACTCCACAACCTCCCCAGGCAATTTATTCCGGTGTTTAACCCCCCTGACAGGCAGGAATTTTTTCCTAATGTCCAACCTAAACCTCCCTTGCTGTAATTTAACCCATTGCTTCTTCTTCTATCCTCAGAGGCCATGAAGACCAATTATTCTCCCTTGTCCTTGCAACACCCTGAATACAGGGTGGGAGAAAAATGGGATTCTCTTTGTTTTTATGGG